AGCAAGATATACAATATCACAGTGACAGGAAAAATGAGGTGCTTTTGTCTCACATGGCCTAGAAGCTCATTTACATACATGGTCAGTAGCATAGACTCATTGAGGAATGGCTCAGAGAGAGTCCCATTGCTTCTTTACAACAACAATAGTAAACAGAAGGAGAGCTGGTGTGCAAATCCTCTTTTAATACAACTAAAGCCCCTCTTGAAAGTAGAGGTTCCTTTGAGAACTGGGTACTGGTCTTTGAACTGTAATTCCTGAAAGAGTTATTATTCTGCACGCTGTGGGAAGGCCTGAACCCCACAGGGCAAACTAAACAAACAGTGTCAGGTATATCTTATATTCTGTAGGACTGCCTTCTCCTCTGAAGTCCTGAAATGTGCCGCTATTCAGCAGAGAGACATAGCATATTTCATTATATTGTGAATATGTATATGACCCCAAAATTAATAGGCTAACTGAAAGCAAAACATATTATTTATAGGCCATTTTGAGAGACAGGTAACAGGTCAAGGCAACAATTATACATATTTGACAATGATCATGATTGGCGTATCCAGCAAAGACTAAGAAGTCTAGGATGCAATTAATGTTCTAGTAATTTTATTAATTTTCTAGCCTGAGTGGATATACATATATTTATCAAACATGTATTCAATTTACTATAAATAAAGCTACCTGTCTCTAGAGGGCAACTCAAACAGTAGGAAGAAAAGGCGATGCTTCTCAGCTCTACAGCAAGTTTCATCTCTCTGATGCCTAAGGTGCAGCAGTGTGCAGGAAAGCCAGCGCCAGCGCAGCCTGGTCCCAGGCGGCCGTGCAGTGCAGAGACCAGGCCACGGCACGGGTGTGAATGACTGCCTGGACGCAGGCAGCATTGCATCCTTGTGTAGACAAGCACAGGGTTAACGCATGACATTTGGGGAGGAGATGAGGGAGGTGCGTCCTTTTTTGAAGGGATTTTCGCACAGCACCGCTCTAGCCCTGACTCTGAAGATGCCCTCCTGCTTTCTTACTTTCCACTGAATTTACAGCTCCTTCACTTTGGCTCAGCACAGCTGAGGAGCTTTCCCTGGATATTATCCCTGATCTTGGCTCTCTGCACTTGCAAGCAAGCCCTTCCTCTACCTTCCTCTGCACAGGCAGCACCTCCCACCCCGGCCTCCATCCTGTCTGCAGAGATCACAAACCCCGCTCTGGAGACCCTTGCGTCCTCCCCACTGGTGCCGAGGCTGCCATGCTCACCCCCCAAAAGCACAGCCACTTGCTCCTGCCTCCCCAAACCTCCTTGGCCATCCCCAGGCCTTCACCACTACTTCTTTCTCCAAACAGCTCTAGAGGGGCAGCTGCAGAGAACATCAGATTGAGGAGCATGTTAGACTGCCAGACTGTTGAGGAGAACAGTTACTACATGACCGCAGGCTTGTCCAAAGGGCTGATGCCCATCCACATGCTGCTCTGCGGGCTTGTCCCCTGCATCGTCCCTCCCATGGCCAACGCCAGGTGCCTGTTTACGGTCTGGGGCATATTCCCAATCACTGCTTCCAAATCAAAACGAATTTATACAACTGCAACTAAAAGGTCTCCAGACAATATGCTTTCTGGTTTCCTTTCCTTGATGAGAAGCATTTCCCATGGGGACCAAGATTACCACTCATCTCTGTGATATCAAACTGAAGTCCTGTGTGGCTGTATTCCCAGCCTGCTTCTGCTGAAATGCTGCAGTTTGTCATTTAAAGGTGTTTTTGAATATAAAAAGTCAAAGATGATTTGGCTAAACCTGAATCAGAAGAAAGGATTAGGAAGGCAGAGGAATAATAATACATCAATTTAGCAAAGTTCTTGCTGTGAATATAAAAAAGTATGTCAGTAATCTGCATTGATTGCTTGGAGAAAATTCAGAGTGCATGAGTGCTGCGTTATCTTTGCACTGCACCTTTTTTTATTGTGCTTGTACCAATGCATATTTTACAAAGATTAATATGCTCCCACCAAATCCATACGGTCTTATGAAATCCATGGGGACATCTGGCAAGAACCTATCAGATCTTTTTTCTGCATGTTCCTTGCAAACAGATTAGTAACCAGTGAAGTATTCTTAAGTGAGAGGGTAAAAGGAAATGGATGTTTTACTGATGCAGAGAGGAGATCAGTGGGAATTGAAAGTATGAAGTTGCAAGATAACATCAGGTTGAGTGAAAGACCCTTGCCCCTGAATTTGGAAACAGCAAGTAGCTATCAAAAGAGTGCATAAAGTAGAAAGGGATCACTATAAACTTCATAATTTATGGAGTTAATAAATATCTTTGGCAAACTTGTTATCTTTTGCATGTTTTCACTGACTTCACAGGAATACACGATGTGAGGTTATGTCTTACATAAAAAGGAGAGGAAGGAAATGAATGCAGCTTTGTTTTACCAACGGGAAAAAGAACTATCATTAGTTGATTCTATCAAACTCAGTAATTTATTCCCCATTTAAACCTCCTCTTGGCTTGAAGAAAACCCTTTATAACTAACTGAATTTAGCAGCCATATTGGACCATACATCATCCCATACTATCCCAATAAACTATTAGAAAGTCAGCTTAACACAGCATCAAAACCAGATATTGAGAGCCTGATGCATAAAGTTTCTATTGATACCAATTGCACTTGAGTCAGACACTGAACCACCACTGAAAAGCTTGGCTGTGACTGACTTGTGTTATTAGACTCAGCACTGATAAAGTAAATAAGGTTTAGACATGGAAATTTTTTAAGACACTTGAAGAAAAACAGCCAACAAGTTCACAATATCCATTCCAATAAAGATCTGCTAAATCCAAAGGGGTTAGGGTAGTAGCCTACTTTCATGGACAAAATAGTTTTGATATGATCAAGTCTGCACCACAGACTTTAATACACACCACAAGAAATACCAGCAGTGTAACACATTTGGGAGGTTTGTTTGGGACTGAGGGCGAAGTACAGTGGCAGGCAACCAAAAGCACCTGACAGCCCTCATGAGGGCAGTTCACACAATATCCGTGTCCTTTATCCCTAGTCTAGAAGAGCTGTGCAGCTTTATGGTGACAAGCATTACAATGAGCCATCTATTTTCAAAACAATCACACTAAAAAGATTTACAGCACATTTACAAGATCTAGCACTAATTTTTTGCAAGAACACACAATGGATCACTATTAAAACACAGGCTTAGATCAGTCATTTGCCCTGCTAGGAGGCAGGGCTGTCACCTTCTTTGTCATCAAGACATGTAGGTGTGTGAAAGACAAACATAACGATGGATTTATGTGGTGCAATGTAATTTTGCTCTGCTTAAACCAAACATCTGTATAGCCTAACAAATATCATGCCCTCCTGAATCCTACTTCAAAATCCAAGAGCATATCCATCAAGGCAATTACCTACATCAAAAACAGCTGTAAATTGAATGCCAGAAATCACAAAACGCAGCACGATGGTTTCACAACAGCCTTGAAGCTCCGATCAGTTCTCCTGGGCGCCACAGCCTGTAAGCATGGATTTCATGAAAACTGCAAAAAATCCACCACTGTGTTCAAGCAAGACCCCTGACTGTGAATGCACCTCCACTGTGTAGTCAGGAGAACCATGAACAAGCTCTGGCCGCATCTGGAGCAAATTCACTCTGCCTGACATATCAACCAAGAGCCAGGTCAGCACAGTGTGGGGCCTGAGCTGGGGGAAGCCAATATCTCTTGTGCTTCAGCTCCCTTTTTGCTCCCATTTCGCCATAGGATTATGAGGATGAAGAAAGTTATGAATCAAAGTAGCAACTATTGTGCTAGTTGTTAGGGCAATGAGTAGGTCTGTGGAAAAGTAGGAAGGAATGACAAGTGAAGAAAAAGGAAACAAATGCACTAAAAAGGGTGGAATAAAATACCATTAAAAGAAAACAACACTATCTAATATTGGTTATCATAGCTATTGCTACTCTAAATGTAGGTTAAAAATTGAGAAGTATAGCCAAGTTGCTCACTTTCAATGGGCAGGCATTGAAAATGACATAAATAATAGTTGTACAGCTAAAAAAGTACCACTTGTTTCACTTAGACTCTGAAAGCTGCTGTCTTCCATTCTGCAGGATCCAGGCATTCAAATTCCCAAAGAGTTAGTTAATCAATCAGTAGTACAAGAAATGAAAGGAAAATGGTTGACCCTGCTGGGAAATGACAAGGGCTCACGCACATCTTGGATCCATCATGTGGTTCCAGCCTGGGCAGTTGGCCAGCAGGTAAGGATCTGGAGGCTGGACAAGCTGCACGTTGCACATACTCCAGTGACACACTACACCAGGACCCCAGTCCTCAAACACCTCCAAAAGGGCAGTAAGGTAATTCCTGTGAGCGCTCACCACAGGGCAACTCACATACGTTCTTGTATGTCTGAGGCCCAAAATCAGTAATTTTTAAGTGTTTGCCTTTAATCAGTCTGTGCCAGTATGCACCTTAATTTAAGCCTCAGTTACGAAGAGAAGATATGTTAATATACAGAATAGTCATTGCCAGAAAAATACACCGGCCACTTTCTAAAAAAAAAAGGTGAGGGGAAGACCTACATGCTGCAGAAATTCTTGGTTCATACTTCTCCCCTAATTACCAACTCAATGAGTGCCCCTTTGTTTTTCAGGTCACCCCCCAATTATATATTACATGTTTCCTTCGTTCCACAACCTTTAATTCTTTTCCAGTGTTGCAGAATTAACTGGACAGGGTTCTTAATCTTGTCTCTACAAAGAACTTGTTGTAATTGCAAAGAATGCTTTCATTTTGCTGGTGTCTGAAATACGATTTGCAGGAGAAGGGGGAGTGCGGGTTGATACTAGTCCCATCATTAATGACATTCTTGTGGGGATTGTAGTGGTAGGAGTAAAAACCCCAAAGCTTTTATATAATAACGAGCATGTGTCTGCACGTGAGCTGCTCCTTTAAGAAGCCTTGGGCTAGTGGAAGAAGGGGGATCCGGAGGAAAGGCAGCCCTACAGCTATAACAGAGGGCAGAGGTTAAATCTGTTGGCATTTTTATCGCAAGTATGGTCACTGCATACCCTCTCCCTGAAGGCTTCACTGAATTAGAGGTGTTTGCCATCGGCACTGCCCTGCTGGTAGAAGGTAAGCTCAGTGCGGGACCTCAGCAGCAATAAGATTTTTGCCCCTATTACTCCTGGTGGGAGGGGGAAGGAAAATTGAAGCGAACAGCAGCATTTGTGGTATGCTGATCCAGACCTATTGTGGTTACTGTGGCTACATCACTAGTACTTCTGGTGAGTAAATCAGGGTGAGCTGCAAGCTGTTTGCAGTGAAGATCTGCTCTGTATACATAGCTGCCCTATGGCAGGGAAGTACTTGCTACTTAGCTTTCTTACGAAGAATTTGGGAGTAAGATTTTGTTGTTGACTTTTAAAGGCAATTTTATCTTCCTTGGGGGAAGGATGTTGAAATGACTGATGATCTCTGAACAAAATTGGGCTGCTTGTTTTGTGGGCTGTGACAGCCATCTTATAATCAAAGATGATAGGTCCAAAATAGCCTGTTAACTGTTAGCATACATCCAGATTGCATTGGTAGCGCTGCAATTAATTGCTGCTGGATAAAAGTAACAAACAGAAATATACGTGCATGAGATTCAAAAGCTCTCACAGTGTTAAGAAGCAAAATTTGAGGTAGGAGACCGTATTCATTTAATTTAGCTAACGTGGGCTTTTCTTCATGCACGTGCCACTTTGTTGAGAGACTGCAACAAAACTGTGAATTTGTTCCTACCTGGCAGCTAATGAAGGACAGGCTTGTAGATAGGATTATTTCAGTGTCAGTCACTGGCGTCTCTCCTGAGCAACATCCCAGTCAGGGCCTGGGATCCCATCCCTGCAGAGTGCTGCTCAGCTGGGGATGCAGGGATCATGTGGCCCTACAGCAGAGGAGGAGAAGCTGTAAGCACCATCAGAATGGGATAAACACTCATCAGCTCACCCATGAATGTGGAGCATGGGAGAAAGGAGGATGCTCGCTCTCTCCTTGCAGGCGAGCTCAGCTGGAAGGCAGCATTGTATCTGCCTGCAAAGGAAAGCTGGAAGAGCTGGGTCAGAAACTCTTCCCTGGAAGAAAGAGAGAGAAGAAAAAGCTTCTACTACTGGCCCAGGGGCGAGCTGCTGCCTAAACAGAGAGTTCAGGGCTAAACCTGGCCAACAGCCATTAAGCCATCTGCAGGGCGTGGCAGGTCCTGTCTTGACTTTGCATTTCGTTACTGAGGGGTGAGAAGCGGCAGGAGGACCGGGACCCTGTCGGGTGGTGGCACAATGTTCCTGCTGGGGGAACGGCTGGTCGTGGTATCACAGCCCTGCCGGCCCTCACCTGCCCGCCCACCCACCTGTGCCCAGGGGCTGCAGCCTGCCAGGGACCTGCAGTTGTTGAAGTCCAAGCAAGGTAGCTGCTGGTAACCTTCACTTAAAACTAGATGTGGTCTGACACATTTATGTTTTACTAAACACAAGTATTTTCTATAGGGTTTTAGGCAGAATGTGCCCAGCAGATTGGCAATAATACTTTATCTTTGTCATCTGACTTAGAAGATCAAACTAAATAATTAAAGATTAATTCACTTTCTCAGAGATTCTGAGAGAAAGGCAATGAAGACCTTTTTTTGCTACAGCTTCTAAGTGCAGTTTGCAAAAAAGTGCTGGGGAGGAGGAAAACCTTGCATTCACTTTATTAACTGGACATATTTGCTGTTCTAAAGATGAAAACTCAAAGCTTTTTTTTTTTTAATTTAGTAAGTTCTCTATTTGTACACTCACGTTGGCCTTCAAGAAAGCACAGTGGGGTGAAGCCTGGAGCTTCCAAAACCAGGGGAAAGATAGAAAAAAGTTGATATAGTAATAACTCTTCAGCTCTACTCTAAATACAGTCACAACATACCTTTCCTAAAGGCTTGACTGCATTTGGGAGAGTTGGCAGCAGTTTTACCCTGTGAGTGGGAGGTAAGTTGGCAGGGAGGAAATAAGAACAGCAGATCTCGAATGGCTCCAAATATTTCTCCTGGAAATATTTTATGTTGTGTAATGAAAGATGCACATCAGCTGTTACTATGGTTATGCCATCAGCCATTAATGCAATTAAGGTAGGAGCAGGATTTCTGACTAGACAAAATCATCCATCTTATGTAACTGCAGAATTAAGACAATGAGCATAACTAACTACACTACTTTACACAATTAGGGAATATGGATTTTTTTCCTGCACTACATCATTTCTCTTTCCAAGAAGAACACAAAGAAAAAGACGTACTGCCTCTCATCTAACTGAGATTTAGAGATGGGATGTTGAGTCAAAGCCCCATCAGAGCTAAAATAATTCAGGTTGTCTTGAAAAGGACATTAAAGGACAAATTTGCTTGAGTTTAAACCAGTGAAGAATGGGTTTCAGGGTGGCACAGCTCCGTGCTGGGTGAATAGCTGGGGTTGCCTGGATGCTCCTCTCTGAGGACCAACGTTAACTTTTTTTTTTAAATCTATCAGTGACTGCTTTTTATAGTTAGATTATTCCTTTCCATGTATAGTCTATTGAGGAAGGGCAGTAATAAGATTGAGCTGGTGTGATTCAAGCACTGTCCAGGTTAACCTTAGACAGAAGCCCAAAGGGAGGCAGTTAACTGAAACGCGGCTAAGGGATTTCTATGCTTAAACACAAAAGAATGTTACAACTGCTGTTAAACGCAACCCGTTTCTCTACCAAAGACAGGCCTGAAGACGTGTGCACCAGCAGCATGTGCTGGCTTGTCACTCCCTCTGAAACTGCCTCCTCTGCATCTCCCTCGCTCTGACCCATGTGTCCCTGGATGGAGCCTAGCAATCAAGTTTCTCTATTAAAACAAAAGTCAGAATTACAAATAAGATTAAACCATTTCTGCTCCACAGGAGTGGGCATATCCCTGATGCAGTTTGAAGCACTGGCTTCAGCTGTCACCTATAACTTCTCTCCTGCAAGTCTTTGTGACTTGCGCACAGACTGTGACCACAACAGATACATTCCCTGTGCATAAGTTTCCACAGTAATTATTGTTCACTCATTAAAGAAAACAGCAGTATCATTGTAGATATTTTCCATTTCTAGTTGAATCACGCCAAACAATTCTGTATTTCAGCCCTGCTTGGTTTCTGTCTGAATGGCTTGACAGTTATTTCTTTCCGAAAAATCAAAGAACTCCGAACACCCAGCAATCTGCTGGTTCTCAGCATTGCACTGGCTGACTGTGGCATCTGCATCAACGCATTCATCGCTGCCTTTTCCAGCTTCCTAAGGTATATCTTCTTTTTCCTAAAGGATGCTCAGAAGAACCACATGAAAATTAACAGCTTAAGTTCTAAGAGGTCAAATTAATTAAATGACTCTTTCTAACATACCACCTAACCACCCTTTTCATTCTCTCAATCTGAAACAGCAAAATGAAACTCTGTATAGTTCTACCAGGCAAGTAAAAAAGCAGACTTTACTGTGTATAATCACTGACAGATTATAAGACTGATCATAGAACACATTTAACCAGACAGCTTTACCAGTGGTTATAGTCGAAGCTACTTCAATATCAAAATAGTAGTACATTTTCATTTGACTAAACCTCTAGACTGCCCCCAAATTTATCTGCAACTCTCTCTCGTTTTTTATGAACCTTTCCATTAAAGCACTTATTTGAGAAGTTTGTGGAAAATGAAAATGCAGATCTGTTAGCAGGGAGTTCACATCAGTTATGACACATTTGATTTTCCACATTTTCACATGTCAATCATTTAATCAGAGGACAGAAACAATATCAAGCATTTCAGTGAATAACTACAACAAACAAATCACAAGCAAACCATACTCAAAAAAACCCCCACCGCCCTATAAAATAGCTGATAAATAATTCCAATTAAGTAGCATATTTTTAAACCCTGGAAATAGAGAACAGCCAGAATGTGACCATTTTATTCTCTCTTAATGGATATAAAAACATTTTTGCAAATTAACAAGTCAGTAATAAGCTCCAATGAGGCCTTATTCAACGCTATGTTGCCTCCTGTATAGGTCACTCTTGTTTCAGAGACTTAACGTCTCACTGAAGTCAATAAAGATGCCTTTACTGAACTGGAGCTGAGAAGTTAAGGTCAATATATCAAAATGAGCTTGGTTTTAACAATTGCAGAACCTTTTCTTTTGAACGGGAGCAGAATTTTCCACGCCTCCCAAGAAGTCAGCAATCTCCTGTTCAAAGGGACTTTCAGGGCTAGTCTCCCAAAGAAATATATTGGTGTTCTGTAAATATATGAGAAAGGAGATTGCTGAAGATTTCCACCTCACAGCCAGCTTTATGAGCATGAGTCAGGTTAGATGAAAACAGAAAGAAAAAAAGCCATAGCTCCTTGCCATGGGTGACCACGATATTGAAGGCATGTGTCAGCAGATGTCTGCTACATGAGACCATCTCATCGTTCTTTTCAATCTATGTCTGCTAAGACATTTGGAGGCCTCAGTCTTGTTATCAGGAGTATTTTTATTTGTTGTGAGCTTTTGTACTGTTGCATGGTGAACACTGACTTTCCAAAAGGTTATTACTCATTTGCTACTTTCACATGTTGACAGATTGGCTGCTCCCAGTGGGTGCAAATTTTGAAGATACGGATAATTGGATTATAGATTTCAAATTAAAAAAACAACTTTCCAATACATAAATGCAGGGTTATATTTCCTTCTCCATATTAAGAGTAAAAATAGCTGTTGTACTATATCAGACACCACAGCAAGATAAATGCTGGCAAATACCTAAAGGCAACCACAGTAACAGCTTTCACAATATTTCTCAGACTCAGAAAGCACATGCACGGGCTATCATTTTACCCTCTCCGTTAATGCAATTTCCAAACATGTCTTCACCTTTTTCTATTATTTTCTTAACATTTTCCTTGTTTGTTGACAGATACTGGCCCTACGGCTCTGACGGCTGTCAAATCCATGGATTCCAGGGCTTCTTGACAGCACTAGCCAGCATTAGCTCAAGCGCTGCGGTCGCCTGGGACCGGTATCATCACTACTGTACAAGTAAGGGCTACAATTTACCTAGCAACCTTACCCAGATACTGCTATAAGGCAGCTTGCTTAGATTTCAGAGAATCAAAGCAGGCACCTATTTATTATCTGCGTATCTTATATGTAAGTTTATTTATCTTACACACTAGAGATAGAGCAAATATAAACAATCTCTCCAAAGGACCTCTTCCCGTACAGGGGGCACTAACCAACCACCTTCAGGAGATATTTCCTCTTCCAGATCACATCCAAGTCCTGACCCTCTTGCCACGCCTTCACCTTCTCCATAAGTAATTTTCAGTGCCCCAAGCAAAATCCAACTCCTCGTATTGAAGAAAAATCTATGCACCTTGGGCTTCCATCCAACACCCTGCTGTGTACCAAACAGATTTTCATGCCCACGCAGAGTTTACTAATTACAGATAAATTTCATGTAGCTAGAGAGCTGCCTCTGCAGGTACAGCAGCTGGAACAGAGCCCACAGCAAAGCACTTCTGCAGAGTATGATCGGGCAGACAGAGCTCAGAAGCCCCGCTGAGCGACACACAGGCACTTTGGGGTGCGAGAGCCATTTGTGGCGTTTGTGCTGTGTTCCAGGCCCCCTTATGAAGAACTTGGTACATTTGTGCCCAAGCAAGGAACAAATTATCTGCAAGTTTCAATAAAAGTGGCACAGGTATTTTTAAGTGCTGATAAGAGGAGGAATATGTTTTTTCTTCTCTTAGTGAAGGCCATTTTTTGTTTTTTCTTGCAATTTAGTTTTTAACTAGCTCTGACACCTTAGCTAGATTTAATGGAAATCTAATATTAGACAGAGAGATCAACCCAGGAAAATAAATTTGCCTTTTTTTGTGGACTTATGAAAGCATATTTTTGATTTAGGTGAGAAATAGAGATTGACAGGATTGTCAAATATATGGATTTATAGAGATAGATATGCTCTGTCTTTTATCACAGAACTGCCTCCCAAACTTTGGCGGTACTGGATTTGTGCATTCATGTAACATGAGTGGAAATTTCTGCTGAATTAGGGTGCTGAGTTGGATTTGGTGTCTGCGGAGACTGCTAGGATTTGTGCTGAGACTCCAGCTGTGCTCCAGCCACCACTGCGGATGGGGAGAACAGGGGAATAATTGTATTCTCTTAGCACAGAAGTCGGGAAGCATAGCAAGGGGCATTATCATTTGCTGTAAAACGAACTAGCCGCCTTGTGAGCATTGGAACTGGCAAAACCTGCTTTCTTGTGAATATGGTGCACAGGGGTGATGTTTGCTTTTGTCTAGTAAGAAGACTTGTGCTGACTGCTCTATGCGTGCTTTCACAGGGCCTCACCTTTCCCCAGACACCAACTTTCACAGTAAATGAGTAACTTAGTACCTATCCGTCCCCACTTCCCTCTCCAGTTTACTTCTAAGTAGCCAACGTTTTCAAAAGTTATTAGGAAAGGACTGAGTGACAATCTTATGGCCCTCATTAGGAAA